CAAGCTGCCCATAATTCATCTGATAAGCATCATCTCGTTGGCCAGCGCTGTCAGTCACAGGGCGAAGTCGAGGTGCTTGCGGCTTGTCCAGGCACCGCCCCTTATTGGACGTGCCTGTTTCTACTCGGCGCCTATTGCGGGAGGAATCCCAGACATGCAGTCCAGAGCACAGTAACCCATCCTTAGCGTTTTCTTTCCCTTCATGATCGCTCCATGCCATCTGTGGCCGCGAGAGGTACACCCCGCACGTCCATGTGAGCAGCTCACTGGCACTGTTCTGTCTGTCACCTGTCACGTACTATCCACTACAGTAGAGCCTCATACCCAACCCAACGCGAATCTCCTTCAAGGAGCGCCAGCACGATGTCATGTGTCACGCCCTACAAAAGTGGACAACACATGGTAATGTCAGGAGCTCGGGCCCGCTCATCGTCGTTGTCGTCGAGAAGCCGCGTTTCCCCGTTTGACAAGACCGAATTCCGTCTACTGCAGGGCTGCCGCATGCTGTGTTTGAGAAGACAAGCTGTGCCACTATCTACCCGGTCTTGGCACACTCGCTTCTGGGCTAGTCACCCGGATCTGTGACCCAATATTTCTAGATTACGCATCTCACTGCCGTACTCACTTGGTGTCAACGTCTCATCTTCTATGATGTGACGACCTGTGTGAAGGAAGTTGCGAAATCTTCCTACAGAGCGCACTGCTATATCCTCGCTTGGCAATATCTTGCTCGCTAACTCAGCCTCTCTCTGCAAATTCGAGTTACATCATCAAGTGAGACATGTGGGAAAGGTCTGAGTTGCTCAAAGTAGGCAGTGCAATCAGCGAAACAATGGCTTGTCTTCGTCTGGTAGGACCAGAGCAACAAAGTCATTCAACAACGGACTCGCGTCTCAAGAGCGCAAAGCTGGAATGACAAACCGTTGAAGACACGGTCTTTGTAGTCATGTCAACGTATTTGGCTGTCCATTGTACACAAATGCCAAATTTGTGGTGATATCTTTGACCTAGGTGAAAGACGAATGGCCCGGCAGAAAACACAATGTCGTGCCTTTCTTTGACCATCAACATATTTCGATGCCTTCCAATCGTGATTTAGACTATATGTTCGAGCAGAGTCCTCGTGGAGAGAAAAGTTTCGTTTTGCAGACCGTAGACCTTCTTCACTTCAAATCAAACATTCTTATCGTACAGTATCACTATACCTTTGTGTCATTTACCTCTGTCGAATACTCTCACACAACACCCAGCATATATCACAATACCTTTGCCAGAATGGGTTTGCGTAGTACCATTGTGTCCAAGCTGGTCTCTGGGCACAACGGCGACACCAAGATCAATCTTAACAATGGCACAGACGAGCACTTCACCCGGCTCATGAACTCGGCTTTAGAAGAGCGACACATCCTGCCCAGGTGGACTTACGACGAGCCTGAGGTTAACGCCACAATTCTTGAAGTCAACTTTGCTCAACCATGTAAGAGAACCAGATCAACCTGGCCCAGCGACTACCACTTTCAGTCTATCCATCCACGCCGCCCATCCGTCACACCAAATGTAGCGGTACACACTGACTTGGTCAACCTGGCTAGAAGATTCGACATCCCCATCAACGCCCTGCACAACTTCATGCGCTTCCCGCCTGTCCGCGCCATTGTCCGTACCCTCCTCATCGAACTAGAGCACCCTGACGCGCAATCCTCGCCGCAGCTAGACGAAGTCGCGATCCTTGACAGAGTAGACGACATCGTCTCCAACACGGATCCTGCAGGCCGACGTATGTACCTCAACCAGGTCACGAGCCCGGGCCCGCAGTTCGCAGATAGAGCCCTGATCCTCTGCCTCGTCAAACTCTGCGCCCAATTCGAGGGCTGGAATCGCTGGGCGTTTGGGTCCCGCCGCTCGACGATCCAGGTCTTCATGGGCGTCGTAGGCCTCTTTTGCAACGCGTGGGTGAAGGCGCCGACTGTTGATGCCTCGTGGTCGCGGGCTGGTGCCTCTTCTCTGCCTTCCTTTCTCTCGTCTAAGCGCTTCGGTGTATGTGAGTCTGAGGCTCCATCTCCGCAGAGTAGACTCACTCCCGAGATCTGGTTCGATTGGTCCCTCCTCTTCGACCCCTGGCTCAGACAAACTAACGCGATCCAGCTGCTGAATCCAGAACCTACATCCGTACCGCTGTCGCCCTTCCCAGACTGCCACACGAGACACGAAGCTATAGTCGTGACGGACATCACCCAGCCGGAACCCGAAAAGCAGGGCCGCGTCGTGGTAAAGTACCACGACATCACGAAGCCCGACGAGGAGCGCTGGGCGTTCCGCTCGATTCTGGACTCGCGGTGGTCCGGGTCCGGTAAGACGCCGCGGACGGGGCTGCAGTATCTCGTCGAGTGGGAGTACGCTGAGCCGACGTGGCAGCCGGCGAGGGATCTGCAAGGCTGCGATTCGTGGGTGTTGCAGTTTCATCGGGAGAATCCTGGTAGAGCTGGGCCTGTGGCCAGGTTGAGGCGGGCTTTGTGAATGTGAAGGGAGTGTATTGGTTGATGGGCGGATGTTGGGTCGTGAGGTCGGTACCCTGAACGTCACCTCATTGTTGCATTTCTGGCATTGGATAGCGTTCGGCGTTCAGAGCAAGTGAGTAATGTGCCACATAAAGGGGCGTTCGAAGAGACTGTAGAAAACCCCGGAATTCTCGGGTCGAGATCGCTTTCATATATTCTTGATACCCTACGTTGCTTACCTATTCTCCCGTCTCATTTTGCTTCTCTTTTGAGGCTTTATGTCTCATTACCGTGACACTTGCTACTGAAACCAATACTCCAATTGCTTCTGAGCGTACGTTTCACACGCTCGTCAGCACGCGATGGTATACTTGGACATACTTATAACCTTTGGAGACATATCTATGCATACATTGTGCTTCTTGCTTCTGAAGAGCAAGAGTATCTACATACTCCCCCCCCTGCCAAACTCTCATTTCTTGTATCTCTTGACGGTTACATTAGATGATCCTTGACTTGGCGTCTGAGTCTACCGCATCCTCTACATACGCATTCAAGTTTCCAGGCCTAGACTGCTTTCCTTCATCCTCATTAGACGAGACCAGGAGAATCTCGTGTCGTGAATTCGACGGGGTTCGTACCATTGTAGAACCACTTTTCCCACTCCTCTTGCGGTGAACTTTGGGGTTCTCTTCTTGTTGATGTGATGGGACCTTTCCTTTCCCCTTTTTAGAATACCCTCCTTCGTTGGCCACGGACATCCCGTAAATTTCTAGGGCTTGCGTGCTTCGCCGTGTGATTTTTCCAGAAGCTGTGCTTTCTTCGATGGTATCTGGCCCCCGCTCTCGGTGCTCGAGCTGTCTCTGAGGACCACGGCTCGCGGTTGCTTTTGATTCCATGGAGAGCGTCGAGCTGCTGTGACGCAATTGGAGACGGGGCCTGCGCCAATGTTGATGCTCGTCTATTTCCCCGAGAACGTTAGGTCGGTGCTTGTTGGACCTGTGCTTGGTGGGACTGAATGGGTTGCTGTAGTATTGGGCTAAGGAGACAGAGTCGATATCACGTCCTGCAGTGTCCGGCAAAAGCTGTTCGACTGTGTACCCCGAGCTGTGGCACCGAATATTGCGATCTTGATCAATCCTTCTTGAGGAGACGTCGGTACACCCACCGTGTATTGGGGAAATGATGCACGGGGGCTCATGATGCAGGCAGTATTGGGCCATCTTCAGAAGTTTTCTTGTTGATGAAGGTAGTTTCTTGAGTGAGTTGGCTATTGGCGTCATGCGGTAATTTGGGTAGGACCGCCTACACTATTTTCGACAAGACTAAGGATCCTCATTACTATTCACTCTTAGCCTTACGTTGATAGTGCAAAGGTAAAGCAGGCTGTTCTTCCTTTGATATCTGAACATTGTCAAGGGAGCGGTAGAAAGAAAGGCCTGGCCAAGGACGCTGTTCGCGGTTGGGGCCATGCCTGAGCACTCGAGCTAGTCGAACATCATGTATAAGTACACACTAGGAGCAACTCACTAAACGAATCCTTCTTCAAATGATGAAAATGCTTCGACTACGGAGACTTGGCATCGGCTATGGAACTTAGAATGTTAGACAGCCTTTCCCCCCCAACTTTCGAACTGGCGGCGGCGACAACAGGAAGTTGGATGACCAGCTGGTTCTCCCGTAATCTATCAACCAAGTCAATTCTCTGTTGAGCAATCTTACGACCCGCCGAGACTTCGCTCTGGGATAGGGAGGGAGCGCGGGGTTCCCTGAATAGCGATGAAGCTGATGTAGAAAAAGAAACATTCCTCATGACCACGTTCCGCTCGCTATGATCTGGATGGCAGAAGTAAGTATTAGACGTACGATGCGGCTGGCGTTGATGAGAAAAATCTCAGTAGAGTGAATTGCCTGCCCAACAAGTACGTCACCAACTTTAGCGATCGTCACTAGTTCGAAGAGCTCCATCTCTGCTACACGCTTTGCTCATCTTGATCGCGGCAGAGTGCCGATGATGGTGCTGTGTTGTCGTAGACTCCGTAAGTTCCCATGCAGAGCGCGTAAGACATCGTAGACGCGGGTGGTGACATAAGAGGTGTCTTGCCTACTAATGATCGGACCTCATTCGGGCCTGAGACACTTAGTGACTCTGCAACTACTCCTAGCTCGTATTTTTGGAAACACACTTGGGTGATGCTATTATGGACAGCCAGGGGATCTCACAGTTAAGGCAACAATAGATGAACGCGATTTCCACTGCGAAACAATCACTCATAAACTGGCTGTACTTCATAACTCTAGTGGATGCTATAGGATTACAGAAGATACAAATGATCAACTGTTATTATGTTGCCCCACAAGCTCCCGGAAGACTAATCCAGACCTCACAAAAGTTTCCAACGTACCAATATTGTTTTCTCCTCGATGAAAAGCTCAGGTGGCTTCTCGGTGCACTATAGGCGGTAAAGCGACCTCATCCGGACTCTGAGAGAGTCCTGGTCTTCAGTCCTTTGCACGATCTTCGAGTCTGTCCTTCGTACCATCATGGGAGATGCTGTAAACCTTCATGTCGTCTTCCGTCGGTACCCAATCCTCAGGGACTCGACAGTGTTCCCGCGGTTTCCCGTTGGAGGTTGTGTATGGCGCCGACGTCTCGAGGTCCTTTCCCCCTTCATTTTCCATCTGCGGCTCGTCTGCTCTTTTAAATAGCCGGTCACGGCACGGTGTTGAGCAAGTGAGATCTCTCCCACCCGTCCACAAGCGTGCTTCTCCGCAGACTTCGCACTTCATTGTCGTTGTTTCTAGTCCGATCTGACTAAGCTGAGGGGCGCGCATTAGTTCTCTCGGAGTGGGATCATCCTCAGCCAAATGGGCCTGTCCGTCGCAACGAGATGGATCACGACCGTCTTGCCTGTCGTTAGACGTATGGCTGTCGGTTTCGCCGTTGTTGTGTTGACTCATTTTCAGATAGGTTCCAAGGTGCTTGGCACTGATTTGCTTGTTTTCTGAACCGTGTTGGCGATTGACAACGTTTCTTTCGGTGCAGTGTTTGATGAAAATACGTGGATATCTCCTATGCTGTGTAACCGACACGCCTTTTGATATTGGGTTTATATGTACTTAGCTCAGGTGAATTAGATCAGCAACTCAGAGACAAAAGTATCTGTTCATTCTTTGATATTTGAATACAGCTGAAGGGCGAAAGGCAACTGTTCGTCTTTGACGTCTGAACAGCAGCAGGCTCGCGAGACAGCAAATAAACCATGCCGGACCGTCAGTCTTCCTGATGTAGAAGTAGACAGCGGAAAAAACGTAGCTTTAAAGGTACTTGGAATTACATGTCGTTTCTCTGAGAGAACTTTACCGCTGCCGGCTTGAGGTCACTCCCATGGATTCGTGATACCCGCGATGCGCAATCCCACATCGTGGACTTGTCTTGACAGTTCTCGCCGACCACCTTGCTTTCCTGACCGTGGCACTTGCTGATGATATATAGATCACGGCTGACCCTCCACGAGTTTGAGCGGACTCGCCGAATGCCTGCGACATCGGAGAAATGCTACATGGAAATAATGACCGTAGTTAGGCTACGGGCGAAAGCGCGACTTGGGCCCTAGAGCCTCAATCGGTTCCTGGTCAAGGTGCTTATGAAAAGCAAAGGAGCGGAGGGCTGTGGTCACCATCTTCCCCTGAGGCATTACCAAAACATGGACTCGTATTCTAATTGAAACTTTTGCCAGTGAGGACAACTTGCTGCACATCCAACAAACAACGCCAATGACTGAATTGAAACTACAATGCCTTAGAGCCCATCCAACAACACGAACTCAACGCCTCGCTCTATAAGCCTCATAACAATACCCATAGCTTCAATATCTCGATTCTAGTTCATTCTCGGTGAGGAACTCGGATGATTTGTTATCGATGTAACCTGGAAAGACCCCATGAAGCGCTCTTTGGTGGCCTCGATCCCCGGGGGTCTTTACGGCCTCACGGCATCTTCGCCATAGATTTTCTGGGTTCCGGCTTCAAGCTTACGGAGTTCCGTCCTCGTACAACCTCTGGGGTCGCCTTCCCGCTAGTATGAATACGGGTCATGCTACTCTTCAACTGGGGAATGTCTTCTATTGCGTACGTCCAGCTCGCCCTGGTTGAGTGGTTCGACTCGATGGGCCTGTCGATTGGGAGGGGTTGAACGATGACGGTCGTTTCCCTGGCTTGACGAAGCATTGCCCCATATTCTGGTAACTTTCTTGTCGAGATTGAGATGTCTTCTCACGCAAGGCGATGGGATTGAGGATGACTTTTGCACAGCGTCTGGGAAAAGTTCTACACATGTAAGCATGCTATGCAACCAAGATTTATTTATCGATCGGCTTCATGTATATTGGAGTTCAGTTCGTAGATCAATGTTGCTGTCTGTCCTTTGATGTTGAACAAAGTGATGAGAGTGGGAAAGACAGCTTTTCGTTCTTTGACGCAGGAACAGCTTCAAGAGGGCCAAACGGCAAACAAACTGTGTCAGACCGTCCAATGTCTTGTAGCACCTGAAGAATTGCGTGTTTGATACTGGGTCCTGTAAGATACATCAGCCTGGCATGGATAGTGGTTTCAAATTTACACACGGCGATGGATTTCATCGAGTTCTATGATGAATAACAGAGTAGTATAATTACACTTGGTCTTCATTTTCGCCATAAACTTCCCGTGTCAATGATAGTCACGAAGTACTAGCTAAGCTTATACTTGAATCACATCATTGAAGAAAGCTGTGATTACCTGCTAATCCTTACGGCTATCAACTCTTCACTCTCTAACTTACAGCATGAAGGATCTAGGCCAGGCTGATGTGTTTGAGCGTATAGGACCCATTGCTAATCAGCAATTCCATCAGCAATTCACAGGAAGGACCGACCGCGAAATATCATCGTTATTTCATCAGCAACACGAGTTGTCAATGTTTTGTTATTGTATTGTGCTCGATGAGAAGCCTAATTGACTCCCCGTTGATCTATTCCCAGGAGTCTTGTTACTCTATTCAGAACTCCGAGAAGGCTCTGAGCCCCGGTATTTCATATCATCTTCCAGCTCGTCTTCTATGAGATTGTCTGATGTTGGCTTTAGGGCATCAGATGCAAGCTCCGCTTCGATCAGGAGTCTCGCCGTATCTCTGTTTGAACTGTATTGAAACTTTTGCTGTTTCCCCTCACTGCGCGGGTCCCGTCTTTCCATGAAATGAACGCCTGGGCAACTGTCTTTTACATGGCAGATGTCTCTGGTACCGAGTATGAGACCGTCAACTGTAGGGACTGGTCCCTTGTCGTAATCTGTTGGGACATTTTTGCCTTTAGGATGGATGGGTTGTACCAATTCCTCGCCTTTCCGGTACAAAGACCAGTGATATTTCTCATGGCAATGAATTGGATTATCGCACGTTGTCTCCGTTTCCTTCAGTGGAGTTGTCTTGATTGGTGCCTTGTAGCCCGGCGGTCTGGGTTCGGGATGGATTGGGTACACCAATGTATCGCCTTCCCAGTAGAAATACCAGTGGAACTTGTTTTCGCACTTCTCTTCCTCATTCTCTTTCTTGCTGGACGACGCAAGCATATTGCACTCAGGTCTGTCATCATTCCGTTCATTCATTTCTCTGGTGACACCTGGATTGATCGAAATTAAGATGTAAGGTACGTTTTCCAAGTGTGAGGACGATTGAAGACAAACTCTTGCGCAATGTTTGATGAAACTATCATCCAAGACCGCAAGACTTCCATGTATCATGTTTATATAGTTCAGATTTGCATTGGTCACTCAAAGAGAGCCAAACGCCGCTGTTCGTTCTTTGATATCTGAACATGGTGGATGGAGTGTGACAGGAAGCTGGTTGTTCTTTGACGCGTAAATCACAATGGGACCATTCAAATATAGCCTCGCTACAAAGGGGGGCGGCTACCAGGCTGGCCCTTAATTAACAAGACGGCGAGCGAGGGCAATCGAACTGTGCCGAACTATTGGACGTCTTACTATGCCAGCAAATGATATGGAAAGAAAACGAAGCTTATCATAACTTGAAATTAATTGTCATATATCAGTCTATGTACAGCATTAAGGTAATAGTCTATGCTTTCCCAAATCCCAAAACAAGGTCTATCAATGTTTAGAACGCCCACTGTCTGCACCAATTTTGCATCAACTCAGGTGTCACGGCCTGCATCTCCTTCATCGTCTGGCTGCTCTTTGTCGTGCGCTCCATTGAGAATTCGACACCCTGTCCCTCGCCCATAGCCAAACCCTGGTAGAAGTCAAGCAACTTGATGCCCGGGTTCTTGTCAACGTCATCTGTGGTCGCCGTGCTGTTCTCCAACAGCTCAACCCACTTCGTGAAGGATACCAACTTCTTGATGACACCGTCACCGTAGAACTCCCTGACGGCCTCAGCCAGTGTCTCCCAGGGTACAGTGCGCGGGTTTACGCCGTGGAAGTAGCCGTTGATCTTCTCCAATGGCACGGGGGCAGCAATACCAGAAACCTCTAGGATGAGATTCGCGATACCTTCAATGGGTGTCCAGTTGACGGTCGCCATGGCTCCGAGGTCACGCGGCAGTGCGCCGAGGTACTTCGAGCTAGCGATGATGGTAGGGAGCCATTCCTGGCGGTTCCATACACCCTCCTTGGATTGCGGGCCGGCGACCTGTCCGACACGGACGACAGCGGTGGGCACGCCCGAAACCTGCGTCGCCTCATCGAGGATGAGAGAGCTGACCATCTTAGAGCGACCGTAGCCGGTGCTCGGCAGGGACAAATCCATCAGCCTCTTCTCCGGCACGGGGCCGGGGCCCTGCCAGGTGTCAACGGTGCCGATAGAGCTCACGAAGACGATGGGCACGTTCTTGGCAGCGCGGAGGGAGAAGTCGACCCAGTGACGGACGCCACGGATGTGCGGCTCAAAGGTCTCGACTGAGATGTTGAAGTTGACGGGCCAGGCATTGTGGATGATGCGGTCTGCCTCCTTCAGGAGACGGTCGTAGACTTCCGGCCCAAGGCCGAGATTGCTCTTGGACATGTCGACGCAGAGGAATTCTGCCTTCTTCCAGGTGGTGGCGAGGCCGCGCTCGGCGGACATCTTGACCTGGCGCTTGCCGCTGTCATCGCTGCGGTTGAGGCAGACGACCTTCGATACGGCGGGGTTGTGTTCCATGAAGTCGAGGAGGTAGGAGCCCAGGGCGCCGGTGGTGCCGGTGACGAGGACGGTCTGACCCTTATCGTTTGGCGCGGGCTTGGAGCCAGCACTGCGTTTGGGGAGGTCGCGGGTGTACTTTTGCAGCTGTGCCTCCATGGCGTGGATATCATGGTTTTCACTGTCGCCGTTGCTGTCTGAAGAGGTGTTCTTACTGACGCGGTCCATGAGGTAGGCAGCCAGCTGGCGAGGGGTGGGATGGGCGTAGATAACGCGAGTTGCGATGGCATCGGCGGTGATGTTTGCGCCGGCGGCCTCGAGGCCCTTGCGGAGGAGACGGGAGGCGTTGATAACCTGCATGGAGTCGATGCCAGCGCTGAAGAAGTCCGAGTCGGCGGAGAGGGCGCGGCTGCCGAGGGTCTGCTGGAAGAGCTTCTCGATGGAGTCGATCATTCCTTGCTGGGAGGAGACGTCAATGTTGACGGACAGGGAGTCGGCGCCGTCCTCAGCCTTGCTATACCACGCGTCAAGCTCGTCCTTGTAGAGCTTGAGGGCCATAGGTCGCTGGATGGTGCCCTTGCCGGCACGGGGGAAGGGCTTCTCTGGGTTGGTGACGCCGATGAAGGCGCGGCCGATCTGGCCGTGAGCGACGGTCTCCTTGTTCGCCTTGACGACCAAAGGCCAGACGTCGTCGATAAATTGCTGGATGTCATCCTCGGAAGTCAAGGGTTCGGTGGGTTCGAGGATGAGGAAGGGCTGGAAGCGCATGGCGCCGGCGACGACGGCGCCTTTGACTCTCGCGTGACCGGTGACGATCTCCTCAATGGTGACAGGATTGAGCTTCTCGCCGTTTGAGAAGACAATGATGTTGTCGGAGCGGCCGTAGTACATCCAGTGGTTGGGCAGCGTCGGGTGCTTCCGGTACAAGTCCTTTGTGTTG